AATATATATATATATATATATATAACCCTAGACGTCAGACCCTTTAACAGAAAGTTTCTGCTGTTATAGGAAATCCTGCTATTGAGGGTTTAGGGTCTCCGAAAAAAGGTTGTAGACCAAACCCTAAACCCTAATCCCCCAACCCTAAAGGTGCCAAGTAGAACCTTTCAAGTGTTTTGGCGACCCTACGCTTGGTAGATAGGGGGGTACTTTGAGCCTGTTTCCAGGCAATGTGAGGGAAATTTCTAGGGTTTAGGGTTTAGGATCTAGAGGGTAGAGAGACAGTAGCTAGTTGTTGTAATTAGGGTTTAGGGGGCTCCAACATTTGCTGCTTATCTGCTGCAAAACCCTCCCTAGATGCAGATGCTGCCTTTTGCGGCTGAGACAAAATTACATTTCGTTGCACAAAAGCAACTTGACGAGAGGCATAGTGATGAGGAGGCACGGGAGATATCTCCCCGAATTGACACCTGCACAGCAACACGAACCCTAAACCCTAAACCCTAGAAAGCCCCGTTGCAAACACCCCAAACCCTCAATCGGCAACAACTGTAAGAAAATACTGACACGGGTCTTTTCGAGCGGAGGGAAACGCCTATATGACCAGCTGCAAGGGTTTAGGGTTTAGGGTTTGGCTTACGAGGCGGTGGACTTGATGCGTTTATACGCTGTGTGCAGGTAACGTCTTGGGGTGTAAGGAGAGAGGAAGTCAATAATGGCAAAGAAATAAACCTCTCTTCTATTAAAACTCATCACCTTCAATCCAAACCCTCCCTCCAGCGAAGGTGCACCTAAGTACGGGGTGCTGCAGACCCACACAAACCCTAAACCCTAAACGCTAAGCCCACATACCTCCGGCACGAGCCTGCGAGCATGCACTTGGGCTTCAACCCCCAAACCCAAACCCCAAAAGCCCATAACTCCAAACCCTAATCCCTAACACCCCAACCCTAGACCCCAAAGCCTAAACCCTCCTTACCTTGTTTGTGTGAAGGTTCTGGAAAGGGCAATAGTGTGGCCATATGGATAGTAAAGGGTTTTCCCGATTTCGCTGTCGTCTTCACTTAATCGCTGCCCTCTACTTCGGGTGTCTGTACACCTGAAGTTGCTGCTGGGTGCCTCAGCCGTCTCTGCAGCTTCTGAAGGACTGAAGCGAATCCTTACGGGGCCCCCACCCTTGCTGCTACTACAGCTGCTGTTGTTGCTGTTCCTGTGGTTGCTGTTGTTGTTGTTGTTGTTGCTGCTGCTGCTGCTGTTGTTGTTGTTGTTGCTGCTGGGCAGGTGCACTAATGCCTCAGAGCCAGGCGGGCCGAGGCACTGCGAGCTGGAAAGCACTACTTCCCGCTGCTGCTTCTGCTCGGCTTCAGCAGAAGAAGCCCGCGAAAACCCCTCGGCAGCATCTGATGCACCAGCTTCTGCTGCAGCATCGGCAGCAACAGCTGCAGCAGCACCGGGAGGTCCCAGGGCACCTGCTGCCTCTGCTGCTCGAGGGCTTCTATTGATGCATGCCTCCCCTGCAAGAACATCTTGCTGCTGCTGCTGCTGCTCTTGCAAAGCTACACTATTGCTGCAGGCTGACTCCGCGTCTTCATCAGCAGCCGGTCCTCCTGGCTGACAAAGAAGAGGGCCATTGTCCTCTGCGTCGGTGACAGTGTCCTCTCCTGCTGGTTCTGCTGCTGCTGCCACTGCTGCAGTCTCTTTGGAAGGAGTGGCAGCTGCAGCAGCAAAACCTGTTCGAGGGGAAGGAAACAACTCTGCCTCCCCCACAGGGTGTACAGGAAACATTGCTGCAGATGTCGCTGCTCCTGCAGCTGCTCCAGCTGCTACTGCCGTTGCAGTCGAAGGAAAAGGTACTGCTTCGGAACCAGCAGATCCTGCTGCTGCTGCTCCTACATCTGTTGCTGAACGGGGAGGGGAATTAACTTCAACCTTTAAACCCGAATTCCACGGATCTGGTGGTTCAAATACCGACGAGATCCGCCGTTGCTGCTGCTGCTGCTGTCCTGGCAAACCCATCGCTTGCAGCAGAGCGTTGTCTGCACTGAGGAATGTCACTTCGCTCTGAGATTCCTCCATCGATAGATGGGCCTTCCTGCAGCAAATAAAAGTCCAACTCTACGATTTACGGTTCAGGCTTTGCCTCTCAGCTGAAAGTGGGCATGCAACAGGCTATAGTTTGGTCGAGTGTAGAGTTTGGGGTTTTATTGGGGATTGATGCGCCGCTTTAAATGCCACTGCGGACGGATCATTTGCACACAGGGGCCACCTAGGTTTTAGGGTGTAGGGTTTAGCTGTACATTGTGTAATCCCTCAAAGGTCCCCGGCTGGGTGTTTCAGTGTTCAGGCGGGGCCTCTCGGTTTCCTTTTGCCGACTGCAGGAAATCAACACACACAAAACAGCTGCAGCAGATGTAGCAGCTAGTGCAGCAGCAAAAAAAGAAGAAGCCACGAAAACAAAAACGACAGCAACGACAGCTGCAACAACATCAGCACAGGCCTAGAGGATAGCTGTAGAGCCAGCGCCAGCACCACCAGGACCAGGAGTGCAGCAGAAGCAGCAACAGCAACATGAGGAACATCAGCCTCAGCACTCCTATCACAATCATCATCACCACCATCAGCAGCAGTAGCAGCAGCAGCAGCAGGGAAATACCATTCATGGATGCCGATAAGGAGGGAGTAATCAAAGACGCCAAGCTGCTCAAGGAAGCGGCAGTCCCTCTCATGTGCTGCTAACAGAATCCGAGCTTCGTCTTCCCGCAAATGCAGCTTACGCCCACTTTGTAGCCAGTCTGCAGCAGCAGCAGCAAGAGCAGCAGCAGCAAATGTAAAACAGGAAGAGCATGAACAAGCAACGAAAGCTAGCACCAGCAGTGGAAGGAGCTCCATCAACTACCAGAAAAAGCGGCAGCAGCCGCAGCAGCAGCAGCAGACGCAGGACTGTCAAGTGCAGCAGCATAGTAAGTAGGAAGTGCAGCAAGAGCATCAGCAAGAGCAGCAGGAACAGCAACATCTTCCTCACCAACATCTTTCTTTACTGTGTCTTCTTCTCTGGCAGTTCTGCTCACGGTACTGCCTTTAATATCAAATGCCTCATTTAAACCCAATGATGGGTCAAATGCAGTACCTTCAAACACAAAATCCCACACCCTAAACCCTAAACCCTAAGCACCGGCTGCTGCTCTAATGCCGATTTCTGTCGGTGTCGAGGCATTCACTGCCACTGTGTTGTTGCTGCTCTCTCAGTCGTGCGTCTGTAATTGCTGCTGCTGTCGACGTTGCTGATCGTAAGACTGCAAAAGCAACTACTGCTGCTGCTGCTGCTGTCGACGTTGCTGATCGTAAGACTGCAACAACAACAACTACTGCTGCTGCTGCTGCTGCTGCTGTTGCTGCTGCTTACCCATTGCAATGAAGTAAGCAGCCGTCACCAACGTCCTTTGGGACTCCTGGGTTTTGACATCCCGGGGTTTCGTATGCCTGCATTTGGAGCCAAAAAACAAGGGAAGCAGCTTCATCAGCAGCAGCAATCGCAGCAGCAGCAGCAGCAGCAACAACAACAACAACAACAACCACTACAACAGCATCAGAAATGGTGGCAGCAGCTTACTGTGTGGGGTTTTGTTTTTGTCTATGTTTATCTGTCAGAATTTGCAACAGTCCCGTTTTAGGAATATTGCGGCCCCTCTGAGTGTTCCCAGGACTCTGTTCCTGCTGCTGCTGCTGCGGCAGCAGCATGCTTGGCCTAGTGCCGTTGTCGCGTTGCGCCGCCCAGTCTCCTCCGCATGTAGGGGGTGCTTTAAGGATAGAGGGGGCCCTGGTCCTGTCTCTTGTGCTGCTGTCAACTACGCTGGGTGCCCGCCTGTTAGGCAGGAGGGTGTTTGCAGGGGGCCCCAAGGTAGTGGGGCCTCCTCGAGGAGGAAGCCCCGGTATATCTAAGTTGTCTTGCTTTGTAGAGCCCATGCAAGAAAGTCCCAAGTTAGAGTGACGCTCAAGAATAGAGCCCCCCGCTATTAAAAGCCCTGCAACATCTGTTTGAGCACTTTGTGGTCTAAGGGTTGGTTTGTTGCTGCTGCGTCTACGAGCTGAAGCAGCAGAAGCAACACCAGAAGCAGCAGCAGAAGATACACGCCTTGATAACGTAAAAGGAAGGTTCTCTGAGGGCCCTCGAGAACCACGGAACGACACAGCAGGACTGCCAATACATCTCGACCCTGTTGATAAAGGTCCTCCTCCTGCTGCTGCTATGGATGAGCGACGCGACGGCCTCCCCCCGTCTTCAAACTGTTGCGACAGGGATTCACGGGGTGCTGATAGAGGCCCCCCTTCCCCTTTAGGGGACCCCCATTCCCCCTTTGGGGGTTGTAAGAGCCGCTTTGAAGCCCCCAGAGGAGCAGCATCTACCTCAGGGGCTGGTTGGGGGGCCTCTGATGGAGTTTCTGTTTTATACAATTCAACTCGATGTATGCCAAATATGCGAGTTAGAAGAGACAAAGGAGTGCTTAAGATGTGATCGATATAAGACGGAAGAACCCTGCAGAAAAAGAAAAACGGATCTAAATGGTAGCGTTTACAGTAACAAAATCAGAGGAATACACCTTTACTGCCATTTATGGATGATGCAAACAAAGATAAAGCTGTGCTGAGGAGGGGGCCGCAACAAATAAAGTCTACGGTTTCATCATAAGCGATATTTCACAGTTTAGGGTTTAGGGTTTAGGGTTTAGGGTTTGCAGTTCACCTCAGTATTTGATTGACTTCTGCTTTGGAAATCGTTTTAATCAAAAACTTCCCATCATGAGAAAAGAAGAAAAACTGACCACTCTTGCTGCAGCGCCAAAACAATCACAATCCGCAAACCGTAAACCGTAAACCCTAAAACCTGACCTAAATGAGCAAATACAATTTTCGTTCGGTGGCTCGTTGCTGGATAACTGGATAACATATTTATCAGCAACAAGCAGTTATTAGTAACTAGCATATTAACTATTTAATCTAATAAACAAAAAATTGATAATTAATATGCCACTTAAATAATTAAATTATTTATGTTATTATAGCCACTGTATCTGACCTGTTCGATTGAAACTCAATGAAGGAGAAGTCTGTGGAACACAAACTCTTCCGGTACTCCTGAAGCGGAAGCAGCAGCAGCAGCAGCAACAGCAGCAACAATAATACAAACAGGAACAGAGGCAACTTAATAGCAGCACCAAAAGAAAGACTAAACACAGAAACACTTATGAAAAGCAACCCATGCATGGCAAAAACCAATGCTGCAAGGACGATCAAGTAGCAGAAACAGCAACAACAACAGCAGCAGCATCACCAGAAGCACCAGAAGCATACCTGATCACTGATGCCTGCAACTTCTCTTGCGCATTCAAATGCATCTGGTGCGATGTCTTCAAAAGTAGCAACAAATGAAGGAGGCAACAAGGGAGAACAGGAAAATTGAAAATGGCGAACTTCAAGTAGCAAAGGCTCATCCAGTAAGAATCCAAGCTGCAACAACACAAACCCTAAACCCTAAACCCTAAACCCTAATTTTTATATTTTTGTTCTCATGAAAAAATCCACCAGATGAGCGCATATGGTCAGTTGTAAACCCGTGCACACAACGGGAAGCCACTAAACCCTTGCCAACCATCGCAAAAGTACTAAACCCTTGCAGATCTCGTAAACCCTAGAAAGCCCAAACAACCCTCGTAAACCGTAGAAAGGCCGTGCACTAGCGAACAAACCCAAAGAAGCCCCCCCGCCTCCCCCCTTCTCGCAAGCCCAAGGAAACCCCACACAACTGCGCGTAAACCCTGCTAAACCCTCGTACTAAACCCTCGCCATGACGGACATCAAGTTGATTATCTTCTCTGTGGGCAAGCGCCACTAAACCCGCATTCATTGTATTGCTGAACTCCATTCCTTTCATCATTGCAACAGTGAGGGCATAGCTCGGGCTGTCGGTCTCTACTACTGCCCCCTTCAACTGCAGCAACACACGCAAACCCTAAATCCTCGAAAACTCTAAACCCTAATTCGCAACCCCTGATATGCAGGTACTCTCACACATAAACCCTAATCCTCAAACCCTCAGGCATAAACCCTAATTGGTTTATTACACCACTACGAACCCTAAACCCCAGTCCCTCATTGCGAAGCCCTAGTAAGCCCTAGCAAACTTTGGCAAACCCTAAAACCTAGTCCAAGCCCCCCGGAAACCCTAATATGGTTTAATGCCTTACATTACCGGCGTCTTCTTTCCCCCTATCTTCTAAGAAGGACATTAACCCTAGTCTTAATGCTGTCCTTTTCTGTAGTCTTTGGCTGCCTGTCTCTTGATAAGGAGGTCGCGTACAGCTGAACTCTTCTTTTAATAATAACTGGCTTGGGGCCCCACACTCATTCCCTAGCGAATCTCCTGATGCACTCCGCTGGCGCAGCGCCGGCAACTGCTGTTGCTGCTGCAGTTGCTGTTGCATTTCTGCAAACTGAACAGCAGCACCGCCGCCTGTTCCTGCCGTTGGTCCTGTTGCTGCAGCAGCAGCAGCAGCTGCAGCAGCAGCAGCTGCTGCTGCTGCTGGGTTTGAGCCAGCCTTGAGAGAAGCAAGAGCAGCAGCAGACTGCTGCTGCAGACGGACGATCTTATCAAGAAGGGACGCTTTAGGGTTAAAGCGAGGATGGAGGGCTTCTCGTAGCAGTTGTGGCTGCAGCAGGAAAAACAAAGAAATTAAGGGTCGGGGCTTTTAGAGCAGCACAAATCCTAAACCCTAAACCCTAGGCCCTCAAACCTACATCCTAAATACTTACGAGGGCCGATCCTCTGAAGTCTTCCCAGAGAGGCAGCAACAGCTCGAGGAGACAGTCTGCTGCAGCAGCAAGAAATTTTATACATGCAGCCCTGCAGCTGTCTCCCCTTCCTGAGGAGAGAGCAGCAGCAGCAGCATCCCAAGTAAGTTGCTGCTCATCTACTGCAGCATATCTTCTCTCCCTTCCTCCTGCTGCTGCTCCTGTTCCAACAGGCAAGATGTTGGTGCCAATACGGGGAGAGTCCTCCTCCTGCTGCCTTTGCTGCCGCTTCTGCTGCTGCTTAGAGGCTCTTCTTTTGCTTATTAAGGAGTTAGTTCCCTTCTTACAGCACCGAGGGTTAGGATATCTCTCGTAAAATGATTCGTCTGCCTGACTGCCTCTCCTTAAGCGTCTCCAGCCGAAACCCTCCTGGTTACTCAGCTGGTTAGCTAGCTGGCCAGCTAGCTGGTTAGCTAGCTGGCCAGCTAACCCATCTCTCCCCCCCAAACCCCCCATACGCAGCAAATGAGGTATCCCTAAAGACTCAGGAGATACCCGGAAGTACGACAGCACCAATGCGCAAGGACCGACAAACCGACGCTCGAAAAAGACCCGTTTTGCCTACAGAGTACAACACAAACCCTAAACCCTAAACCCTAAACCCTAAGTTTACACACCCTCCACAACCAACCCATCCATAGAAGACGCAAGGAGACCCTCCCGCTTAAAGACTCCAGCAGACGTCAAAACACTCAAGAGGGAATACTATCCTCGACGCACACCTAAACACTCGTCTTGAATCGAGACTCTAGGGTTTGGGGTTTGGGGTTTAGGGTTTACCTGAGAAAAACACTTCTTCGAATACGCAAAGGCCGCTAGTGTATGCATCAGATAAATGTGTTCTCCACGCACTTGCGGCTTCAATTGAAGTTCGTTGTCGGATGAGCTGAAGAACGTACACCGGCCAAACACTAAACCCTAAACCCTAGATCTTAGGGAAGAATGAATTATACGGGATTATCAGAATGCTTTTAAAGTCTGCTGATCCTTATGCTGTTTACTGCTGTTGCTACTGCTGATGCTCCTACAAATGCGCTGCTGTTGCTGTTCCTGTTTCTGCTGCTGCGGCTGTTGTTGTTGGTGCTGCTGCTTACTTCTTTGAGGGTTTTATTGAAGTCAGCTCCTTAAGACGTTGCTCTTCCACAAACCTAATGATTCGTCAAAACCCAAACTTAACACCCTAAGCCCTAAGCCCTAAACCCTAGATCTTCCCTGTGTGCAACGCCTTATAGACTATGTCACTGTGGTTTCGTCTGGGGTTTACTCTTTATTGTTTAGGGTTTAGGGTTTACTTGTAGAAGGCAAGAAGCACAATGGGGTTTAAAATACCATAGATGAGAGAGCGCTCGCTCGATGTTTCTAAAAGGTGCGATGCACGGCCTGCAGCGCAAGATCCGTAAACCCTAGAACCTAAACCCTAGATAGGAATTCTTTATCCCGGAATGCTATAGGTCTGCCTCGCGCCTGTAGATCCTGCCCCCTCTTTGCCTTCTAAGCTCAAAACCCTAACCTCCGCTCCCAAATTCTAGGCCCTAGAACCCAAACCCTAAACCCTAAACCCTGACCCCTCACCTGCTTCTCCCTGGAGTTCTTTTAGGAGTGACGCTACATCTTTGCGGCCTACAACACTTCCAAATGAATTATTTTTTGGTTTTCTTTTAAAGAATGGCAATTGGGGCCCCCCCTTAGAGCGGCAAACATCTGTTGCTTCCTCCTGTACCCCTAGAGGCCTCCTAGGGGGCACCTGAGTGGCACCCTGAGGAGCAACCCAAGAGGCTGTTTGCGCTGGGGGGCAAGGAGGAGCTAGCAGGCGATCATCTTGCTGCGGTTGCTCTTGCTGCGGTTGCTCTTGCTGCGGTTGTTCTTGCTGCTGTTTCTCTTGCTGCTGTTTCTCTTGCTGCTGTTGCTCTTGCTGCCGTTGCTCTTGCTGCTGTTGCTCTTGCTGCTGTTGCTCTTGCTGCTGCTCTTGCTGCTGCTGGTCTTCTTGAGGTGGCTGTTGCTGCTGGTGGTGCTCCTGCTGCTGCTGTTCTTCTTCATTTAGCAGCTGCGGCTGCTGCTGTTGTTGCTGCGGGTCTATACCGTCTTCTCCGGTGACGGGAGGCCCTGGAGCAGCTCCAGCAGCAGCATCAGCTGCTGCTGCTGCTGGATCATGAGCTGCAGCAGCAGCAGAACTGCTCCCCCGAGAAGGGGGCCCCATAGCTTAGCAGCTTGCCGGGCCTCGAGTGTATACAGAGACCAATCGTGGGTGCAAAACCATTTGTTTAAACCTGAACCCTGAACCCTAAACACTGGAAACGGGACCTGGAGGGCAGGCTGCGGCGAGGGTGAGCAGCTGAAGGCTCCAAAAAAACCCTAGAAAAAGGTGTGAATGCGACAGAAAGGTTAGGGCCTAGGGTTTAGGGTTTAGAGGTGAAATGGGAACCCCGGGGAGGCAACAAGCCAGTAGAGAAAGGACCCGGTTTCTCGCGAATTAGTGTTTAGGGTTTAGGGTTTTTCCATTCATTATGAGTCGCTGTGTTTATCTTCCTGCTTGTATTAGTGATGGTTGGCTCGGAGACCGATGGTTCAGTTCAAGGGTTTAGGGTTTAGGGTTTGCGCCTCAAACCCTTCGGCCTCGCGCGTGCGGCGCGTAGGAGGAGAGGGTTTAGGGTTTCGGGTTTGAAGTTTAGGATGATCAAGAGCATAAGAAAACCAAATTACAAAAGAAGAAAAAGAAGGAGGAGCAGCTAAAGGGATGTGCTGCAGCAAGGGCAGCAGCAACTGCAGCAGCAACAACAGCAGCAGCAGCAGCAGAACACTCGAGAAAGCAACGGCACGCAAAAAGTAGCGAGAGACCAAACACGCCTCAATAAGACAAGAATTTATATCGATACTTCAAAATTTAGGGTTTAGGGATTAGGTTTTAGGGTTTAGGGTTTAGGGCTTCTGCTCCGCCCGCACCGCCGCCATTGTCGATACCGCTGGTCAGCCCCCAGCCCTTGGCCGGGCCCGAAACCCTAAATCATAAATTCTAAACCCTAAACCCTAGACCCTAAACGCGAATTTTGCACAACTTCCTTCCAATGAGTTAGTTGTCGAACGGGGGCCCTAAACCCTAAACCCCAAATCGCCAATGCTGAAGTTGTCCCTCGCCTGCGTCAAGGCCAACAACTACAGCAAGAAAGATTAGGGTTTAGAGGGGAAACAGAAATACAGCAAAAAGGGGTTTAGGGTTTAGGGTTTGTGCATCTCAACCACCCTTAAGACCGGGAGCGTTGAGGCTTCCGACGCAGAGGACGAGGCTCTAGGGTTTAAGGTTTGCGGAGGCGGCGATACTCGTGCGGTTGTTGCAATGAAGCCTTGCTTCCTTTTGAGTCCCTGAAGCTTACAGTGAATTAGGGTTTAGGGTTTAGGGTTTGCATGAGGCAAAACCCCTCATCAAGAACCCAGCAGCTTCGAGGGTTTAGGCGGCCTCAACGCTAAACCCTCAGCGACCCTCTACCCTAACTAGCTGTAGCAGCAGCATCTAGCAGCAGTTACCAGCAGCTAGCAGCAGCTAGTAGCAACTACCAGCAGCTAGCTTCAGCTAGCTACGACGGCTAGCTAGCCGGTACCAAGATGAGGGCTTAGTGTTTGATGCAGGGGAGGTTTTGTGTGGCTGTGGGTGGTGAAGTGTTTAGGGTTTAGGGTTTAGCATTCTTCCTCAAGGGTTTCCCTGTCACTCGGTAAGCGTATAGACCCTAACAACAGGATTAACACCAACGCTACACCCTAAACCCTAAACCCGCAAGAGTTGGGGTCCAGCGGTAGGGTTTGCTCTGCCTCTCCTACTTGGCTGCTGCTGCTGCTGCTGCTGCTGCTGTTGCTGCTGTTGCTGTTGCTGCTGTTCTTTTGCTGCTTGTAGCTGCTATACATCTATGGTGCACAAACCCTCATAATGCCTGTAGTTGCTGCAGCTAACTACTGAGGGTTTAGGGTTTACCAGGAGTTCCATCTTTAAACACAATAAAGAGTCCTCCAGGAAAAAAAACAAGATTCACTTCCTAGGGTTTAGGGTTTAGCACATCGTAGAGTGCATGCGCATTCCCCTAGGGTTTAGGGTTTAGGGTTAGGGTTTAGCGCATCAGCTATAGTGCATGCGCAGTCACCTACTAGGCACCCCCCCTAAACCCTAAACCCTAAACCCTTTTTATTGTACCAAGGAAGTTCTACGCTGCTGCTGTTTTTGAATTGCCCAGACGCGTTTCCCTGCCGAGCTGTCTGCTGCTGCGGCTGCTGCTGCTGCTGCAGTTATTGCTGCTGCTGCTGCTGCAGCTTTTGCCGCTATTGCTGTTAGAAATAACGCTGCCTGCTTCTCTTGTGTTGCATGCACTGCCTAGCTGCTGCTGCTGCTGCTGCTGCGCTGCATGGGTCAGCAAGGAGCTCGCAACTCCTGAAGCCCTGCAGCAGCAGCTGCTACTGCTGCAGGCGCTGCTACTACTGCAGCTGCTGCTGCAGCAGTTGCTGCTGCTGCTGTAGCAACTATCATCAGAGAGCCTTCGTGCCCTGCGTACTATGGGAGAGGACTGAGGGAAATGTTGCTGCTGCTGCTGTTGCTGCTGCTGCTGCAGCAGCACATTGCTGCTGCAAGGCAGCAACCTTCTCCTGTGGCTGCTGCCTGCCGCATCAAATTCGTTGCAGCAGCTTCGCTGCGTGGGAGCTTCACTGGCCCTGTGCTGCTGCTGCTGCACTTGCTGCTGCTGCTGCTGCTGCTGCTGCTGGTGTGGGTAAATAGGACGGGCAACAGCAAGAGATAAGCTGCTGCAGCAAGACAGCTGGCTGCTGCTGCGATCTAATGAGGGGCCCCTAGGGGATAAAGAAAGATATAAATCAACAGGAGGCAGCTGTGCTGCAGCAGGAGAAAAGCCAGCAGCAAATAAGCTGCTGCTGCTGCTGCGGCCGCTGCAGTTGTAGCTAGGCCGAGGGCGTTGAAACAAAGGAGAGGGGCCTGGAGACCATGCCTGCTGCTGCAGGTCCTGCTGCTGGCTGCTGCTGCTGCTGCTGCTCTGCTGCTGATAGCTGCTGCTGCGTCTGCTGTTGCGCTGCTGCTGCTTCAGCAGCAAAGGGGGAGAAAAATCAAAAGGAGGGAAGCAAGAAGGACAAGAATCACAAGGAGCTGAGGATGTACATGTTGTACGCGTGCTGCGGCTGCTGTTGTTGTTGCTGCTGCTGCTGCTGTTGCTGCTGCTGCTACCGTTGTTCCTGCTTCTTTCAGATGCAACAGTTGTACCGTCAGCAGACGCTGTTGAAGCGCTGCTGCTCACCTCCTCCCTGCTGCTGCTGCTGCTGCTGCTGCTGTGACTGCGCAAGCCTTCCTCGGCTTTGGTGCTGCTGCTGCTGCTACTGCTGCTGCTGCTGCTGCTGCTGCAATGATTTACAGCTTGCGTTACTTCTGCCTTTTTGGCGCTGCGCGAAGTTTTTACTGAACCTTCGCATTGCATGCACGGCTCTGCTGCTGCTGCTGCTGCCGCCGCTGCCTCTGATCTCGCTGCCCCTGCTGCAGCTGGTGATGTCGCTGCTGCAGCTGCTGCCACTGACTGCGGTGACGCTGTTGCTGCCCCTAGTACCCCTGCTGCAGCAGCAGCTGCTGCTGCCTGCGGTGACACTGGTTCGGCTGCTGCTGCTGCAGCTGCTGCCGCTGCTGCTGCAGCTGCTGCCGCTGCACGCCTAGTCTGGCGCATTTCTGGTATGCATATGTTACTGCTGCTGCTGGTGCTGCGGTTGCACCTGCGTCTTCTTTTGCTGCTGCTGCTGCATGCATCAAGACTGCTCGTGCTGCTGCTGCTGCTGTTGGTGCTAGGCTGCCTTGAAAGTTTACCCTTCTGCGGTGTATCCGCAATAGCATGGTCTGTTGCTGCTTCTGCTGCTGTTGCTTCTGCTGTTGCTGCGGATCGCAAGGAGCGGACACGCTTGCTGCGGCTGCTGCCTCCGGCTGCCGCTGCTGTTGTTGCTGCTGCTGTTGCTGCGGCTGCTGCTACATGTCTACTGTCGCAGGAACTAAGGGCTGCTGCACGAGCAGCAGCAGCAGCCGTCTGCTTCGGGCTTTCAAGATCTTTGCCGCTGGTCTTGCTGCTGCTGCTGTTGCTGCCGCTGTTGCTCCGGCTGGAGCTGCAGCACGAATTCTCCTTATCTTCTTCAGATTTCTGCCGCATCCCTTTGCTGCTGTTGCTACTTCTGCTGCTGCTTGCTGCTGCTACTGCCGTTGCTGCTGCTGCTGGTGGCCACCTCGGGCGTATACCGTTGCTGCTGCAGCAAAAGTTGTTAAAAAAGCTCGTGAAAGGACGCTACTACTGGAGTGTACGTACACCTCAATTTGTTGGTGTTAAGTTGCGTAGGCTATTTTACCACTCTGTTCCCACTGCTGCTGCCGCTGCTGCTGCAGCTGCGGCTGTGACGGTATTGCGGCAGCGTGTGGTGCTGCAGTTAAATTTAAAGAAAAGGCCAAAGAGAAAGAAGACATTAAAATAGAATTACAGACAGCCGCAGCAACAATCAGCAGCAGCAGCAGCAGCAGCAGCAGCTTTGCTGCTGCTCTCAGCCACCGCAACCCGAGTTTGTGTTGTCTGTCTGCAGCAACTGTCGATTTATGGTGTTTTTGCCGGTTTTTTCTTCTTTTAATTCAATTAATTAATATAATTTAATTAATTTGTTAATTAAATGCAAAAATAAGGGCAAATTGACAGATTATTATCTCGATTTGCTGCAGCAACCACCATAAAACCCTAAACCCTAAACACTAAACCCTAAACCCTAAACCCCCCAGCCCCCCTCTTTTCCCCTCCCTCCTTTGCTATTTATGCAATTTAATGCCTTTATTTGTTCGTTTATTTTTCTTTTTATATTTATGCACATAAATTATATTAATTATATTAATTATTAAGAAAAACAACAAACAATTATTAAGGGGTTTTTTGTCTATACTCCCCCCCTATACTGGTGGCTCTCTCCCCACTATAAAGAAAAGTATTAATATTAAGAACTAAATAGTTTTTTCTTGTTTATTTATATTTATTTAATAAGTATAATAATATAAATAAAGCTCATTTACTCAATTATACGCATAATATAGATGTTTAGGTACTCCTTACTATCATTTAGTGTATAAATTACTATAAATGTAGATACATATATATATATATAT